GACAGTGGTGAGGTGTGCAGTCGGATTGACAAATGGGTTTAAGGTGAGAGTAGGATTAGATCAGGGATTAGCTCTGAGCCCCTTCTTGTTTGCAATGGTGATGGACAGGTTGACAGATGAGGTCAGGCAGGAGGCTCCATGGACCATGATGCTTGCAGATTGTAATCTGTGGTGAGAGTAGAGAGCAGGTGGAAGAGCACCTGGAAAGGTGGAGGTTTGCATTGGAGACAAGAGGAATGAAAGTCAGTAGAGACCAGACAGRATCCATGTGTGTGAATGAGAGGGAGGCAGGTGGAGAGGTGAAGATGCAAGGAGTAGAGATCAGAAAGGTGGAAGACTTCAAATATCTGAGGTCAACCATCCAGAGCAATGGACAGTGCAGAAAAGAGGTGAAGAAGAGGGTGCAGGCAGGGTGGAGTGGGTGGAGACGAGTGTCGGGGCTGTTGTGTGACAGAAGGATAGCACCAAGAGTGAAAGGGAAGGTTTACAGACCACAGTGAGGCCTGCCATGATGTACAGTTTAGWGACAGAGACAGTGTCTAAAAGACAGGAGGCTGAGCTGGAGGTGGCACAGATGAAGGTGCTGAGATTTTCATTGGGAGTGACGAGGATGGACAAGATGAGAAATGATCAGATCAGAGGGACTGTGAAGGTGGAGCAGTTTAGAGATAAAGATAGAGAAGCCAGGTTGAGATGGTTGGACATGTGTTCAGGAGGGATACTGGATATATTGGACAAAGGATGTTGGAGATGGAGCTGCCAGGCAGAAGAAAAAGAGGAAGACTGCAGAGAAGATTCATGGATGTAGTGAAGGAGAACATGGAGATGGTTGGTATAACAGAGGAGACAGATGATCTGCTGTGGCCACCCCAAAGGGAGCAGCTGAAAGACAAAGAAGAAAGATTCATTTCTTTAAAAAACAATAGAAATTTTATGTGACCTATCACATCGAAACGAGGATTAAGTCTAAAAGTGGTATGTGGAGATGTAGGCAAATATAGTGTTTTGACTAAAATGTTAACAAAAATTGCATTTTGTTAAAATATAATGAATAAATGCTTTATAAATGTATCATTTGAATAAACTGTCTGAAATTTAAACATAAAAAAATTTGAAGCACTCTTTGAGCAGTAGCAAAAAAAAATTGATTTTGAGGAAAAACGCCTTAAAATTTTGAGATTTTCTCTGTGAGTTAGCAAAGCTGTTTCTTTTTTTAGCTGGGAAATCTCAATATTCAAACATAATATGAGGTTTCTTCTTTATTAGGACATCAACAATTCCTCAATAAAATGACATAAAATTAGGATTCAGACCAAATATTTGTGTATTATTGTAACCAACAAGACAAAATAAGTCATACATATGGATTTAATTATGACATCAGAATGATCCAGGTGTCAAAATGTAGCTTTTAAAGCCAAGAATCAGAAAATGTAATTAGGTCATTTCGACCAAATTTGACTTAATCCTTATTTCGATTTGATGGCTCACATATATACAAATACAAAATACAGATTTAGTGAAAGACAGCAGAAGAAGAAAAAAATCTTATATTATTAGCCCTTTTTTGAGTAAAGAAATTCAACAAAGTAGTCTTCAAATAACAGAAACAAAACAAACAAAAAAGAAAAACAAAGGTTTGACTCCTTGAGTAACAATTTGCTTAAATATACATTTATCTTTTGTCAAGAGGGCCAGCTGTTCAGGATGCTCATAATGGTGGAATCGAACCTAGAGTGTTTTTTCCTCCACAGAAACGGGGCCAGGAGAGGAGAAGGAAACATCATAAGAAAGGAGGAGGTCAAGAGGCAAAAAGGTTGAGACGACAGCAGGAGGGAGTATAATGAGACAATGTAATCAACTTTAAAAGAGTGTATTTAACCTAACCGATGAGTATTATAACTGTGTTTCTCTTGATTAATGTGCTGTGATTATTGATGATTTATAAACWTGTGATATCTGTTTTTAAATGTTAAGATGGTGATTAGGGCAGACCAGGGTATAATGCTCTTTCTGTAAGGTCAGCTGTGTGGACGTGTGGCTTTTCATGTGCAGGCTTGTTGAACATCATGTGAGTGAAACATTGCTTCACTTCTAACTGTCAAAAGACTTATAGTTCCCCATCTAATGTCACGCGAAACCTTGTGCAACTGGACCTTCTCAGAAGTACTGAGGATTGCTTCATAGTGGAAGAGTACCGTGAAAGACACATGACACATGATCGCCCCAGGCCTGGGGGGGGAAACAAGCTCACACAGACAAAGATAAAAAGCCCGAACTGGACCACAGCCGGTGTCTTCGCGTCGTCAGCTGAGAGAGAGGCAGCTCAAGAAGCAGCAGGACATCAAAGCAGCAAATCAGTGACCGGATCTGAAGTTCAGTCTCTCATTTGGGCCAAAAGCTGATCAATTCTCCTCAACTGGACTCAAAAGGACCGAAGACCAAGATTTGGAACCAAGGCCCATCACAGAGAGAGATCTTATCAGGCCACGTCCGGACCTCATGGGGGTAAAACTGACTGCTTTATCCTGTCTTCTAAAGAAATTAACAGAATATGCCACATTTCTTAATCAGGAAGATAGCCCAGCATTTTAGAGTGTTTTATTTTATTCACCATCTATTATTACTCAATCAATTACTAATCAATGTTATTAATTTGTATAATCAGTTGTGGCAATCTTTGCAAATTCTATTAAACTGCTTGCAAGTTCCATAAAGACAAATTAATTGACTGGACATTGATWTTTTTTGGTTTTTAACATTTTCTCTGATTACTGCAGAGTACTGTTGATTTAAAGTAACAAGATAACTACCTATTTTATAAAAGGTGTGGTTACTTTTAAGCGATTAGTAATAAGGAGGAGGTCAGGATTGTAATATAAAGTTCACTTTGTATGGTTTATTAGCCACAGAGGGGGGATAAAATAACTCCTTTCTGTAAAAACAGTTCCCTTGAGACCTTTTTTACTGGTCACAAAATCCCATCTCGACCACACCAAGAAGTGCACATCCTACGAGAGAGCGYTGCCCGAAGAAACGACAGTGCCCAGCAGATCTCTCAGGCGGCCCTGGGCTACCAYGCCTGCATTGAAGCTGGGGTTCACGAAGGGAGCGACTGTCGGAAGGTGGGCAGTTGAAGGTCGAGCACAAAGCTCTCGCATGATGCCTCGAGGAGAAGATGGTCAGACTCAGCAGCAGCAGCAGTCACCACCGGCCACACCTCAGTCCCTTGGCTGACAGTCACTCTCGAGTGACTGTAGGCCTGACCCACAGTGCTGCCCCGCACTTCCCCCCCCTTGTGACTGTGAGACTGAAAGTGCTGCCCCGCACTTCCCCCCCCCCCTTTCTTGACTGAGAGTCTGACCCACCGTCCAGATCCACAAGGAGGCATCGACTCCTCTCCAAGACCCACCAGTGTCCGGGCGGGTAAACTGGGGGAGGAGCCACAAAGGAGAAGATGGCGCCCAACTTGGGGCGTGGCCTAAGTTAGGACCGCCCCCTGAGAAGGAAGTCGGGCCCAAGAAGTGGCCCAACTTGACTACAAGAGCAGAAAGTGTGAATCGACTGCTCAGTGTGCTAAAAGAGAGCCACAAGCACACATCCCTCACGACACCACTCGGGGAGTGGTAGAGGGAAAGGTCCCTGGGGAAAAAGCTGCTGTAATGAGCACAGCACGCTCAGGGTAAGTAGCCCCAATCGTCGAGACCCCATCCCTGACCTGTAACGCGAACAGAAGGCTTTGAGGATCGACAACTCCAATCAAGACAAAGGAAGGCATAATGGCTGAAGCAGTCAGGCCTAAAGAAGAGGGGACCTCACAAGAAATGGTCCCCAGCCCAGACACCAAACCCCTCCCGCCATGCATAGTTATGCTTTATGGCAGGGGGACCACAGACTGGCACCCCGATGCTAAGGCGCTCCTCTGGTCACACTCCACTAAACCAGACATAACCCAAGCCCTGGCTGAGATAGGAACCCACATGACCACAAATACATACTTCTTTGCGCCAGCAATGGTAGATGGGGTGATTTTGGCAGTATTAAAACACCCCATAGAGACCAAGAAGAAGGACCAAAAGAAGGAATGGGTCAGTTGGTGGTTGCAAACAGCAAAAGGATGGAAGGCCGAGGTGGTGAAACTGGTGAGCCCATCGGCAGAATATGACTCCCTGGTGAAATTGGTGGCCAGAGAACAGTCTATTGACTGTATGATGTCTGATCCAGCCGCAAAACCTGAGAAGAAATACCAGTGTCTGGAAAAGCCACTGGATCAACTCAGGCAGTTGAAACAGACACAGAAGTGGAGGATCAGCAAAGAGAAAGATGATGAGGTGAGTATAATCGGGGATCCTGAAACCAACACTGACCACGAAGAACCAGTCCAAGAGACTGAAGATGAAGATGAAAAAGGAGAACAAAATGATGTTGATTCTGTTGATGAAGAATCATCTGACAGTAATGACGAGGATGATAATGAAAGAACCCCCATTCGCCAACAGATTGAAGAACTAACTATGGGGATACAAGAGATAAAAGAATATCTGGGCCGAACCCCTAAGCCCGGACAAAATTCTGATGGAAAACAGAGTGTTGGGGTAAATCCGGCTAACAGCGATGAATCAAAAATTGCTGGACACCAAACTGTGGTAAGAAGCCTGGCTAATCAGTTTGAACAGGTCACCGTCAAAGATGACAGAAAGCCACGAAAGTGTGACCGCAAACAGAACCACATAGAACCCGAAACACTGAGACAAGCCCCATTAGACCCTCTCCCCGAATAAACCCTGAAGATCAAAATGCAGAACGGCATAGTCCTGCACCAAGTTGTGGGTGACCCATGGGCCATCCCAAGTGATGGGCTGCTGATATTCACTGACCAAAATTATAAATGTCACAATACAAAATTCAGAAAAGCCCTGATACGGACTGCTGGATATGAATACCAGAAAGAAGTAAAAGAAATAAGGGCAACCCACAAAAAAGATCCCGACCGACCCCAGATGACAAGTGGAGCCGACTTGGTCCACTATGGCATCATTCACGTCCCAGTAGCGGCGTATAAAAAAGATAATGACATGGAAAACTATGTCCGGCTGATGATGAAAAGGTTGGAACGAGGTTTGTACCACACAGTACATCAAGGACTGAGGAGAGTCGTCATCAGCACCTGTGGTCTGAGGTCAGGAGATCTCCCATGGGACATGGCAGAGAAGGTGGCCGTGAGAGGCTCRGCATGYTTTGCTCAGAACCTCAACGTAGCCACAGACTTAAAGGAAATTGTTGTGGTCACGGCAGAAAGATTGAAAAGTGAAAGGCTGAATCTGGCCATGCCACTGATACCCTTAAAAACTGATCCCCCAAAAGCAGAAGGTAAGAAGGCCCCCATTAAACACCCCCCACCCAGAAGGACTGAACGAGGTCCAGAAGCCCCAGTTGCAGGAGGTGACAGAGCACTGGAAGGACCTGTGTGCAGCACACAAAACAAAAGAACGCAGAGAAACAAAAATTGGTCGGAGGAAGAAAGACAGGACCTGATTCAACACTTTAAAAGATGTGGCGACAGCTGCGGTAATGAGAGCTCTGATGAGGAAGAGCCTGAGAACCCCCCCCAGCTCATGGAGCGCCCACAAACCCCACTACCTCACGAAACTTCAGAGGATGAAAACGACGAGTCTAGCATGGGATCTGCAGCAGCACAAGGTCTAGGCACCCCTAAACAACTGAGGATCGGACAAAGAAAAGGGGAAAAAAGGCAGGTAGAACTGGTGGACGTCCTCCGGGTGTCTGAGAGACTGGCACGAGAGCCCCGGTGGGGACCGATCCAGACCAGTGATGGAAGAAAGACCTATGTGCCTGAAGCAGACCAAAGAGATTTCCCAATACCCACGGTGTGGGCTGAAAAGACAGAAGAACAGCTGGAAATAAARGTAAGAGCCAAGGTGGGGGAATGGGCCAACATAATAATGATGCCGTCTTATCCCACTGTAGCTGCACATACACGGTTGACAGCCAATTTCAGACAAGCATATGTGGCTATTGCCCATGATGTAATGCTGAAAAAAATGAAGAAAGCAGCCAATAAGTTTGTGAAAAACATGGCACGACAAGAAGAAGACGGGATGCTCTCAGATGAGCCAGCACAGCCTGTAAGTGCCCTAGGTCAAAGGGCCTCAGCAGGTGTGATGGAATGGAAATCTATTAAAGAAGTGGATACCAACGCAGATGAGTTTCGTGAGTATAAAAAAATAAAGACTCTGTTGAGAGAGCCAAATGCTGGTGAAGGGAGAGAGAGCTATCTGAAAGACGTTTGGCCCCTAGTGGTGAACTCCACTACATGTGAGGCTGTAAAACGCCTGTGGCTGAGTCACGTTACTGGCCATCCCATCGATAAAAAAGACTCAGCCCAAGACTACTATGAGAAATTTGTGCCTGAAGATGAAAATGATGAAGATGCTCACATTGATAGAGCTCGATCCAGGCTGGAGCAAGGACAAAAATTAACCCCCATCTGGCATCAACTGAAACAGAACGTTGCTCCCACCAGGTATGTAAAAGCCCTCAGGATGGTGACAAAAGGGCG